GTTGTCTTCATCCTGTCGCACCATTTTTCCGACGTCATGTTCATTGCAACTCTTAAGCATCCATTGAAAATATAAACCAAGTATTTGCAAAGCATGAGAATGTAATGCAGTAATGCTGCCATATAACCTCCCACATCAGCATTTGTATGTCAATGTATGCAAAACATTTCCTAGTACTAGACATCTTAACTACGGTGATTCAGACAATCTAAGTAAACATATGGACATGCAGACTCATTCATACAATAGTAAAGTAAAAGAGACCTGAAATAAATTTGTAACAGTGCACGATAGTTGCCACAAATGTCCCGGGCTGTAGGGATACACTACTGCCCAGCCAACATTTAAGCAAACACCCACACTGCTACGATTAATGGAAACATGACTAACTCATACAAAGAACCACAACTGCACAACTACACAACTGCAGTCCAGGTAAATATAGTATACGGAAGCATGCATGTACATATATATAGATGTGCAATCATAAGCTATCAAGCAGTAATGCTGTTATATAAGCTCACACATCAGCATATATATGTCAATGTATGCAAAACATGTCCTAGTACTAGACATCTTAACTATTGTAATACAGATAATCTAAGTAAACATATGCACACCGTCACGCACTCATTCATACAATAGTAAAAGTAAAAGAGACCTGAAATAGGCATGATGTAGGGGTACACTACTTGAAATGTATAAGTATTGCTAATCATCAAGCCAATCTAGTTCTGCACCTTCGCCATGAAAAGAGGACTTCCTAACACCGTAATTAAAATACAACTCATCATCTACAGCAATATCACGGGTCGCTTTGAATAGAACAGTTATTTCACCAAGACTTACACAAACAAGCTTTATATTAATTTTCCTCCACTTTCTCGAATGGTTAATTAATCGGCCAATGGTGGATTCCTTGTTTGGAGGATGGCAAGGGCATGAGACATCATTGGCATTAACACAGTTTTTGGCCAGTGGATGGATTCTTGAAAAATAACAGGTACCCACCGGTCCCCTCCTGCATTTCCTCTCGTTTTTTAATACCTTCATCATGGGTAAGCAGTAGCCCATGGTAGTCACACACTACCTCACTTTTACTAAATGGACGCGTGGTTTTAACCCCTCTTCCCTTTTCCAAATGAGCAATATAGTTAAGCCGGGCCATTTCTGCTTTATAACTAGCCTTTTTAATTGGGCCTCTTCCCCGACATTTTTACCGCGCTTTCCTAATGATGGTACCCAGTGGTCAAGTACGTAGGCCTCTAGCTTCTTTTGCTCCCATCATTTTTTCTTCATGCGCTTCTTCAATGCGTGATGTGATGGTGTTGTTCTTGGGAATGCGCCTGTGTTAATACAATGCAAATTAGCCCCAAAACAAGTGAAAGAAGTGCCAGCCTTTTCGGTTGGCAGAATAGTCATATCTTAATTGTTTTGATACATCAATCATCGCATGTGTGTCCATGTCAAAAAAATGATTTCAAGCCTAACCGATTAGTTCTTTGCCTCGCAACTTCGTTCGCTCTTACATCCATCGATTGTAGAATCGTTGTCCGTCTTGCTGGTTGATGTCCTTGCAGGTCTTCATTGTAGGTGGATTCTCATCAAGGCTGAGTGGGTAGATGACACACAGCTGATTGTAGGCACTATCCCTATGCATAATTAAAGATGACGTATAAATTTACTTTATGTGAGTAAAAAAAAAATAAATATAGAAAATCCAAGGATTAGCTGGAACCTTTACTGCCATGCCAGACAAGATTTTTCAACCCAATCTGCTGAACACAATACAAGTAGTGAATGGTGTTTGCACTCCACACCACCGCTTAGCTCTAGTACTATAGCCCGCTTACATTAACTGCCGCTGGCCAACTCGTCAACATGTCAATTAATTTGAGAAATATTTGAAAGTACACTTACACCAGGCGTCCAATGAGTGGAGCAGCTTTTGCCACATTGGCGGTCTCCTTGAATACATTGTGGCGGTTGGCAACGTCGATCGTGTGTGCGAGGTAGTCGGCAATGTGGCTAAGTTTCTAATAATTTCCTCACTTCATTGCAGGTGACGATTGGCATATTGAATCTGCAAAAAAGAGATGTATTGAAGATAGTGAGTTATCATTATAATGAAAAACATGCATTATACCAATTATAGAGGATTGTAAACTGTTAACATGTTATATATTATATGGAAAACATCATTAATAATTATATATTAAGATTAAGATTATGAGAAAATCTCGAAGCGGAACCTTTTGTTACTAACATACCTTGCGATGTCCTGTATGGTTTGTGAGGAGTTGTGTTGCTTTATTTCATTCCGAAGGTGGTCGTCGAATCTAGCCAGGTGTTCCATGTCGTGACGGTTATGCATTCCCATATCCTGCATTCTCTTGCGGCCGGCGGTGGACCAATTACGGTGGTGTGCATCAGGCCGGGGGCGGGTCCTATAAATAGACCAGTCCTAAGTGAAGCATTAACATGCACTATGCATTTCATTAGACAATATTTTTGCAAATACATTAATTAATTATGGACTTTTATAATCATCATCATGAAAATTTAAATTACATTAAAACTAGTTTCATTAATATAAACAATTAATCATAACATCCATCATTGTTTATTGAATACAACCCGACAGCTTCTACTGTGTTAATTAAAATCAAACCGTATTAAACATAGGCAACGCTTACCATTCAGCATCACTTTGGGCGGCATCCTTAATGGTATTGCTCTCAACTTCTTCATTCTCACTCTCACTGACCGATACGATCCTTGGACGATTGGTTTCTTGCTGTATCTGAAACAAAACTGGACTGGCGGACCAGTGTGAGCAGCCTGGTAATTAAGGCTTCATCTGAGAGTGCAGATGAAGCTAGAGAAACAGGCTGATTACCAGCTGGATCATTGTCTGAAGGAGCAGGCAATGATAGAGGTGGGCCGGTATGTTTAGCAAGGGGGGTGGGGGCATTAGGTTGACCTGTTACTTTATGCCCCAATGACTGCAAAAGAGATACCACCTGGAGATCCGTCATCACTCCATTGTTGCACAATGCAAGAATGTTGACGTAAGGGACGATCGTTGAGTTATTGCAGTTGTCAAAGGCTTCTCTCCGCTGTGCTTTCGCACTTGCAGATATCTCCTATAATAATGCAAATGGCATTAAGAACCTGCACACTAAAAGCACTAAAGCACTGAGTCACCCTTTCAAACCGTTTTAACACGTTCAGTGCTATAATATGATGAAACATTACGCTTAACCAAACCGATTACAGCAGTGTATACAATTCGCCGCGAGGCGGCGAGTCTACTGTATCGAATAAGAAATATACAGATTGTAAACTACAAACATAAATATCAAAATCAATGTCTTAATTAGGCTGTGCCTGTTCAGTCGCGTTCCTCATGCAGGATCTGCGTAGGTGGACGGAGAGGTCTTGCTTCATCGTCTTGCAAATGGGGCAGAAAAGACGCATTCTCAGTTGCTGTGCCATGGTTCGCTTGTAGTGTCGATGTTCGCAACAAAATCTCTGTACACAATGAAATTTCTTTCCGTAACGGATATATCAGCTGGTTAGATTGGTAACCTCTCGGAGCAGTTAATGCACCGCCACTAACCTGAGGGTGAATTTATTCCCACAGCCGAATGTCCAACAACCAATCAAATGCGCCAAAACCATGTAACAATTACAAACTGGCTTCCTTGCCAAAATATACAAGCTACGACGCGCGAGTGATGGTGTGTGTAGTTTGCCGAGCAAAACTGGCTTCTTTGCGAGGGAAAATGATTCTTGTCAAAGTTTGCGAGTTACCGCGTGTATGCGATACTGTTAGAGCATAGGTATATATATATAAATATATATATATTCATACCACGTGCATACCCATCTGGTTTTTTAGATTTATTGTGTTAAGGACGATAATAACAGATAAGACATTAACTATATACGGATGTGTGTGCGCGGTAGTGTGTGTGCGCGCGCGCGTGTGTGTGTTCGGGTGCCGCGCGGGGCGGGCATCGAGGTTTACTACAGTATCTTGATACCGATTAACTCCTGGAGAAAAATTCGTGCGTACTGTAATATTAATCGTATCTGTTCTGTATGTGTGTGTGGCTTGCGCTTGGCCGTGTGCCGTGGCTGAAACGGGTCCGCCGTTAGAGTTCGCGCGTTGTATGTTTATTATGCTACAATCATAACGCAGGCAATAACTGAGTATATTTTTATACGTGCGTGGCCTCTCTTCATGAAAACCGATTTAATATATATGCTAAAACGCGCGTGCCCAATCTTAATCGAAATATGAATACGTTGTTGATTAAAACTGTGAAATTACGGGCGTCGAACACAATTTTCCTGATATACACACGCGCTTTGGCATCGTGGCGCTCTTCTCGATTTATTATCGAACAGCTAACTTTTCGCGTGCCCCGCGCGTATATCAAATCGCTAACAATACAAATCGCCGGCTGTGATTTTTGAAGTGGGGTGACCCCCCCCCCTAGTTTGAAGGTTCACCATGGTCAGGGTGACTTCCATGCTGGCATTAGATTGATTTGCTGACATGCGGCTTTGGGTATAAAATTCAGGTTTATTTCAAGATCTGTTTAGTTTATTGTCTGTAGAGAGTCCATACATCAAGCTACAGCGATATATTGCGCCATGGCGTGTCCTGATGTTGACGAGCGCATTGGAGGTTAGAATTGCACGCAGTGGCGTACGCATAGGGGGCGGGGGTGATTTGGGGTGTTAAACACCCCCCTTGCTCTGTCCAAAAAGATCAGTTTTAAAAAAAAGAAAAGAAAGAGGAGAGGCAGAAAAGCGGAAGTAGACAGAGAGAGAGAGAGAGAGAGAGAGTGTGTGTGTGTAGTGAGGAGAGGGGGAGAGAAAGAGGGAAAAAGAGAGCTGGAGAGAGAACAAAAGGCCTATTATCCTGTTTATTAAGTTTAGTTATTTGTAAAGCGACCCTCTCGCCGAGCAACTGCGCGCTTCCACGCTCCGCTCCGTGCCAGGCGCTATGCGGCATCGCACTCGCAGTCACTAACACGGTGGTAGAATCCGGCGGGGATTGGGGGATGATCATCGCCCCTGCTCTGAAGGAGGGGATGGTCCTGTACAAATATCTCCACCCCTGAGATTCAAAAAAAAGAGAAAAAAGAGAAGAAGAAGAGTAAGAGGTATCCGATTTACCATCGACATGGTTTATCAGTCGTGGGTTTTAGGTGCTACCAGTCAAATGAGGCTTAGCCCACAGCAGTCGCGCAGATTTACGTAAGATTTGGGCAAAATTGGATTGCACCGAACATATATTATATGTTTCATAAGATTGAGTTCGTTTACATGATTGAGATTTCAGCATAATTTTACGGATTTTACTGCCATTCTACTCTAGCTATCAAACGCAGCTTTTATAATATGCTAGTGTAGGGCTATGCACCGTTTGTCGACTGGCTATGTAGTTATACGTAGTATGGATATAGTACTTGATTCACTCACAAACACACACCGCCACATAACACGTCACACCTCTCTCTCTCGTCTCTCTCGCCACGCACGCACGCAACGGCACGCACACGCACAGCACACAGCAGCAATCACGCACGCTCTCTCTCTCTCTATACACACACACCACCTGCGCGCGCGCGGCGCGGCGGATCACCTCTCGTTTCTCGATCGCGCTCAGTCTCTCTTTCTCTCTCTCTCTCTTCTGTCTCTCTCTCTCTCTCTTCTCCTCGAGTCTTTCTCTCCCTCGATGTCTTTCCTTCTCTCAGGTTCTCTCTCTCTCTTTCTCTTCCTTTCTTCTCCATCTCCTTCTCATCCCTCCCTCTCCCCTCCCTCCTCTCCTCTCTCTCGTCTCTCTCTCTCTTCTCACACACACAAACACACACCACAAGCACACACACACACACACGGTGCTCGGACAGCCTCTCTCTCTCTAGTCTCTCTGAACCACATACCACTCCCTATACGCAAAGTTACGTAAAATTTTAGCTTGATGAATCGCACCTAAAACGGCCGCATGCTGCGTAACGCGAACTCGTACGCCAATTTACTAAATAACTGTCGTTGATAAATCGCCAACTACAGAGCAGTTCGATTTGCGTACCACACAAAATTTACTGCAATAATTTTGCGTACGCAGCTTGAGATCAGAATCTACCCCCGGTTACTCCCCACCGTCAGTGCAAGCGCCACACGGTATCAAGAGTCTACAGTTGCCAGGGCGCGTGTACAGGGGGGGGGGGCGTCCAGTGCCCGCGCGCGGGCCGGGATCAGCTGCGCGCCGGACTCCCCATGCTCGCGCAGAAAACGCATTCTGAGGGTGCCCTTCGCGTGCATCCTAACACCCCCTTTTCGAAATTCTGGTAGCACACTGTCTGCCGGAGCTACCTAAACAGGAGAAGTAGAGACTTAAGTACTTGATCGTCGATTCCATCCAGGGAGCGAGATCAACAGCACGCTCTACAGAGAGACTATCCAGGACGTTGGCATGGTTTACCTCGCAAAGGGTTGGCAGGAGGATATGTGTTTCACGCGCGAGTGATTTGTTGTGTTTGTTGCGTGTTGGTTACTAACCTAACTGAAAAAGTTAGGACGATTGTCATACATAATTTTTAGGATAGGTCAAAATGGGCTAACTTATAATTGATGAGATTTGGTGGTGCATCCGGGAATCGCAATTATTAATTAATTAATTAATTTTCAGATAGATCAGAAATGGGGTAACTTAGAATTTATTACATTTTGAATGGCTGATCCGGTCAAATTAATTATTATATTAAATTTTCAGATAGGCTAGAAATGCGGGTAATTAGAAGTTTCATACATTTTGATGTGATCCGGATCCAAATGCATTATTTAATTTATTAATTTATCATAAAAATGTTCCTACAGTCACAGATTGAGGCTGTCTTGGCGGAGGTCTGCGCGCTCTCCGAGTGCTCATAGTTTGGGCATGTTATCCTGCTCGGTTCGGGTACCAAATGAGGTCGAGGACACACACCGCGCAGACAGATCGTCAACAACATATACAGCACGACTTCTCGAAGCTATAGCCAATGTGCAACGTCCACAGGACCTGTGCGATTGCGTAGCCAATATTACCACGCACGAGGGATGATAAAAAAACGACGCAAAGTCATCCAAGTCAACAGCGATGAGGAAATGACGAAGAAATTAAAAATGGGCTATATGTGGCCGCCAATAGCCCATTTTTAGTAGGAGCAGAGTCTCGCTTCGGCAAGACAACACGGAGAACCTTTCTTCGCCCACACCTACACTTAGCCAAAGCGGGATACGTGAAACTGTAGCCCGATGCATCGAGACCTCTCTGCGTACCGTATCTACGTCGGGGGAAGATCTCCTCTTAGTAAACTAGCCCTTGTCAGGGCTACATTTCTTCCAAGAAATGATTTCTACATTTGCAATACTTCCTTTATCAGGAATTGAAGACATAAAAACGTTACGGTAGTAATCATACATACACATTCATCACTACACATAGACATACTTCATACATACACCAATATAAGGTAATGTATATCTGATATATCGCCGTTAAACACTAATAAAAAAGTACTCTCGGTGTTTCGCTAATTGAAATACAACGACGAATTGCTTGCCTTAGTTTACGTATGGCTATGCTTTATTACGTGCAACTCAATAAACCTTACATCAAAATTAGCGTTTGTAAAAACGTATAATGAATATGGGAAATATTCATGTTAAAAATTGGGTCGCAAATGTGGTGGGTCAAAATTACCACAATGGGTTGAAATTACTAAAAGTGGGTCGACATTGTTGCGTCGAAATTACCAGCTTCGATTGCCAGAATTTACCAGATTAGATGGCCAGTAATTTCGACGCTTAATCATATATACAATGACAACAGCCAACACAACAGCCGCGAGTTATTTTATTTTTAACGGGATATAATCAGATAAACATACGCGATACTGTTAGAGTCTGTAGATCTGCAGTCTTGTGAGCCACTAGCTAGGACTCTAACCAATATGGTATTAACTGGCTTCCTTGCCAATATACAAGCTACGACGCGCGAGTGATGGTGTGTGTAGTTTGCCGAGCAAAACTGGCTTCTTTGCGAGGTGGCTTCTTTGTTTATTTTTATTTATTCGTTACCAACAGCACCAAGTTAACGCGTAATGTTTGTAATATTATATTTCCATCTATGTGTGTTTCATTAATCAGTCATGGTAACGCGCATTGTCTCTGATTTTCAATCACCATTCATATTGTGTGTACGTTTAATTTTGTTTATTTTTATTCATTTGTCATCATGGTAACGCGCATATCGCATTGAATTCAAAACTAAAGTGTTTCATTCTGTGGTTTCTGTGTTATAGATAGATAATGATAAATAACTGCCTAGTGGCACTTGCGTCTTTTCGTGAAAGACGGGAAACAGCATCAGAGCTGGCATGCCCCACTTTCACGAGCTTGAACAAGTTTTCACTATTATTGGAGAGAGCACACGCTGGGAAATCATGCATTTACATTAAAAATCGGAAATCTAGCATTATTTTGTTGATATATACTAATGTCTGCGAACATTAATACATCTTAGGTGAATACAGATAGATAGGTCGAGGGGCAAAGTGCCTTGTGAGGCGCGCACTCAAGCAACCACACGAATAAGGGCAGGCATTTATCATGAAAGTCGGGAAACAACGCCAGAGCTGACATTCCCCATCTTTACAATGTCAACGATTCAAATCTGCTTGCCTGGTTCTTTGTCTAGCTAGCTGACTATACACATACGCATGCATATATATATATATATAGACCGGGTGAGATTTCCCGTGTTGAGTCAAATTAAGCCGCAGGCTCCACTCCTGGTGGTGCCCTTCCGTCAATTCCTTTAAGTTTCAGCTTTGCAACCATACTTCCCCCGGAACCCAAAGACTTTGGTTTCCCGGTAGCTGCCCGCCAAGTCATTGTAGTAACTCCGGCGGATCGCTAGTTGGCATCGTTTATGGTCAGAACTAGGGCGGTATCTGATCACCTTCGAACCTCTGACTTTCGTTCTTGATTAATGAAAACATTCTTGGCAAATGCTTTCGCTGTTGTTCGTCTTGCTACGATCCAAGAATTTCACCTCTAACGCAGCAGTACGAATGCCCCCGTCTGTTCCTCTTAATCATTTCCTCATGTTCCGAAAACCAACAAAATAGAGCAACAAAGATAGACCGGAAGGTAAAGGCCAGGACAGGCAGTAACCATCGCTAGATGGACCACCAGCCTAAGCCCCAGATCCAACCTCATAACCTCATAACCTCATAAGTGATAATCTTCAAAAGTCCTGGAGACTATAACGAAGATGGAGAGAGTGGATCAAGTCGGTAGATCCTCACTGCGGATCGCAGCGGAAAAAGTTGTGAATTTGCTATTTACCAAGGATGAAGGCAGTGAATTCCAATACGGAATGCACAGAGATCAAAAAGCTAACTTAAAGGATCCCTTAGAATTTGTAACATGCCGAAAAATAGTGACACGCTCAATGAGCAGGGTTGCAGCGAACCAGGCTTCATTAAGCAAGAAGGAACGCCAATTTCATCTCACCATGAATAAATTTTATGAAAGTTACTGAGTTTGAGTGAAGAAAGCGACACAAGGAGCAATTCAAACGAGCTCAGACAACATCAGCACTATCCATACTATAGGTTTCTGGAGACGCCATCTCCGCACTTTATGCTGAAGGGTCGCAGTCTAGACGGCAGTTCTGAAGTCTATAGGGAGCCAGGCTTGCGCGTAAGCATATTTCTAATATGGGCAGAACCATAGTTTTGAAGGCTAGGGACCTGAGGTTTAGAGTCACAAAGCTAAGATTACGCCGTAGCATGCCGTAGACGATTCGGGACGCTTTCTTACAAATTGTAAGTCATGTGGCTATTCCAGAACACACAAGATCGGTCCTATCTAAATAAATACACCAAATTCGTTTGTACAATAAGGGTAAGAGATTAGATTTATTGATACAACGAGTAAATGTAAAAGCAAGGTGATTTGATGCGAGTAATGCGAAGAAAATTTTACATATATTCTGCATTGAATGACATACCCGCATGATGTGTGCGCCACTTCTCAGTACGCGAGTAAGGACCCTCTGAGGCTAACTGGTCACTTCTTATTGTAGATGGTGCGGTTACAGGACAGCTCGTCACGCACCAGAGGCGAATGAGAAAGTAGAAGGGTCATTTTCCGCCAACAACCACGAAGCTTTTTAACTGCAACAACATTTATAGATATACGCTATTGAAGCTGGAATTACCGCGGCTGCTGGCACCAGACTTGCCCTCCAATAGATCCTCGTTAAAGGATTTAAAGTGTACTCATTCCAATTACGGGTCCTCGAAAGAGTCCCGTATTGTTATTTATCGTCACTACCTCCCCGTGCCGGGAATGGGTAATTTGCGTGCCTGCTGCCTTCCTTGGATGTGGTAGCCGTTTCTCATGCTCCCTCTCCGGAATCGAACCCTGATTCCCCGTTACCCGTTACGACCATGGTAGGCACATAATCTACCATCGAAAGTTGATAAGGCAGACATTTGAAAGATACGTCGCCGGTGCGAGACCGTGCGATCAGCGCAAGGTTATCCAGAGTCACCAAAAGAACGGGCCGAAACCCGATTGGTTTGGTCTAATAAAAGCGCTCGTCCCGTAAGGTCGGAGCTTGATTGCATGTATTAGCTCTAGAATTACCACAGTTATCCAAGTAGGATAGTAAGATCTAAGGAACCATAACTGATTTAATGGTCCTTTACCACGGCTGTCACTTAATGTTTATTAATGTGTAAATTCTTTTCTGATGCACATATCAACGCGGATTTTTGTTTCCCTACAGATCTCTTGGGTTTCTATGATAAACTAAAAAATTGGAGAGATTTATCGAGAATCGGACATGTACGAACGTCCTAAAGTTAAAGGGATATATTAGACTCTAGGATTTTACTGCATACAACTGTACTTACTGTATAACAAATCGTCTATACCCACACGTATTTGTTACCAGATACCTAATTTGATTGTTATAATTAATTACACATCAACGCTACGAAATTTGCGATGACACCCGCGACCGTGCTGCTACCCTGAAAAAGTTGCGTATTTGCCCATTTATTTTGCACGTTACAGACCGAGGGCTAATCACAAAGGTGCAATTATATTCATACCTAAATGCTATTTAACCGAACGATGTTCATTTTAGGACAAATTTATCCATAATATAACTGAAACTATATGTCGTTTATAAAATATTACAATCCTTTTGCTTTTAAATTAATAAATAAGAAACACCCTCGGTCTTTAGCCCTTGGCTGAAAAGTGGTTTTGCGCAACGTATCAGATCGTGCGCTTTGAGTGGCGCCACCGCCGTTGTAATCAAACTGTAGTCGTTAGTTTTAAAACATTTTTTAATAATATTTCTAATGGTGATTGAACCATGAAACTTTTTATGTAGCGTAATTTTAACCTAAATTAACTGAAAATAACCCTAGAACCTAGAGTAAACGATCCCTTTAAGTTGTGAACTTTTTCATAGGCAATGTATGAGGGTAAATTTTTTTTACCTGTGTTCCTTGGGGAAGATGAATGGGTGTTTTGAGTATTAGGATGGATTCCCTCTACTTTTAAACTCATTCGCGGAATTTTTCAAGATCGGGTAAATGGGGTATGAGGGGTATGGGTTTTATATGGGGTATACTTCGAAAATCAATTCAAAAGTCAGATCCATCATGCCAAAATTCAAATAAAGATAAGATAATGAGTTTTCAAGATAGCCCTCTGATTTTTTAGGAGATAACAGATCTATGTGTGGACTGCCGGGATCTAATGCGAGAAGTTGATGAGATTTTTCATTTCTGAGATATGACTGACATTACCCGGGGTCAGAAATTCACAACTTAAGGAATGTAAAATAGGTGCTCGTTCCCTAAAAAACCGTTGGAAAGCTCCTATTTTTTACACAATTGTAGGAATACGTGCCTTCCACTGCATACTGAGAGTTCAAAGACATCTGACAATTATTATTTGAAACGGGTGGGTTTTATTACCGTTATGTTGCAGTTTCACATAACAAATGTGAATGAATTCATTCATGACGAGATTATCTGCCATATTTATCGACTTTGGGCCCATTTTATAGCTTTTTGAAAGCTCTTTTAAACTGCATGCATTTAATGCACACGTATGGTAATGCTCGGGAGATAGCAAATGAGAAAGATATCTTAAGTTGCAATTTCACATTTATTCACGAATGGGAATTCACAACTTAACGAATGAATTGAGTTCACACCCATGAATTGACATATTGATTGCTTGATTGATTTTTTTCACATATGCAGCCTACGTGAAAACATGTTGCAACATGCTGAAAGGTTATCCGAGTGTTGTATATATGTGTTCTCTTTGTGTAAAGATATTGCAATAGCATGTATGCGTTTTATTAATAGTGTGCATGTGTTGCCTTAGTGAAAACATGTTTAAACATTCGCTGACAATGTATAAACACGATGCATGTGTAAAGGTGTAGCAACTTGTAGTACCAAGTGCAAAAACATGTTTCATGTGTGTTGACTACGAGTGCACGTGTTGCAACATGCAGTAACAATATACCCTCGATCCTAACCGACTCGCAAGATTCACCGGCGATGAATTTCATACCATCGGGCAAATAAACTATTTTGATTTTATTGAATATCCTAAACATCACATATACAGGCCTAAAATCACAGCTTACATGCTCGAACTATACTAGTGAATGAAGAACAAGCATAAAGTTGCAACATGCATTCAGCCGTTGGTTACGGTCGGAGGTTCAGCCGTTGGTTACGGACAAATAACCTGTTTTTTTAAGTTGAACATTACAATACAGTAATACACTAACAACACGCACAATCACGGATTACAAGATCACCGCCTGTTAAAGAGACTAGGTATGCGTTCAGACCTCAGACCCACCGAAGTGTATTGTGGATAAATGAGGAGCTCATTGTGCCGACATGCACTTGGGGAGGAGGAGCCAACCAAATTACGTCAGAGGCACTCGCGGCCCTGATACGCTCACACAGGGGCGTACACCGAAGTGAACGGTTTAGAATCTAAATATAGTGTATAGGCGATAGGTAACAGAGGAAGGTGGAGTGAGATCTGTTTCTGTGTCTTAGTATGTGGCTGTACCAACTCAACTGTACTCTATTTGCTTGTGAGCATTGCCAAGCCCCATTACTACCACTAGTATGCATATATAACCAGTTCAGCGTGTGACGTGTACGTGTTGCTTGCGCAGGAAGATTGTGTAACGTAGCTGTTTGACAAGTCGACGAGACGCCCTCGATCGCACACCGTTACTACAAGTGTCCAGAGCTAGTGGATAATAACTGTCACGGGCGAGCTCAAAGTCATCTTCACTCCCTGTGTCGGGCAGCGTGATGAAAACTTAATAGGCCTACACTTCGTCACCAGCATAGTGTAGCATCATAGCTCTTTTCCGTTTTGGTGTGGTTATGTTTAATGCTATCATCAGATTCTCCAACTTCGCCACCCATTTCGCCCATCTCAGTCCAGTGTTGCCACTGTCCGCGTGCACGGCGAACGCTGGAAATTGTGGTAGGCCGGTTGTCATTCTCTGTTTCCTATTAAATCAGCGTTGAGGTAGGCTCCACCAGCTTTCTGTATCACCAGTGCTCGTACGTAGGCTTCGATCGATATAGCAGGAAAACACAATCACCCTGAGACGTTTCAGTTTCAAATTCAGTTCCTAGAAGTTAGAACAAACGGCTGCGCTGCTCCAACTGGCAATCGCGGGACTGGGTATGCACTTTGACACCGCTTTTCCCGTATAGATGTGCGTTTGCTCCTTCGTTTCAACCATCAAAACCTGTCTCTGGATATCCACTGATCTGTTTTCACCCACCTTTCAGTTCCTCGTCGCCAGAATATAGTGTTTTAATGCTCTTGCCTCTGAACACTCAAGTAAACACGTCTGTTTCTGTTCATCACACAGGCTCAAAGACCCCGTATGTTTTATTCACACCGTGACGTGTTGCACATACAATAGTGTCATAGATCACGTGTTCGTAAACGAATACAGAAAGTAAAGCATAACATACTATAACTACACTACATTGTCGTCGGTTGACATCATCCACCACTGCATGGGATGCCGTTTCAAATGCTCTCCTAGCCTCGAGCAGACAGCCTCTTTCTCTAGGCCGTACCTGTAACCAAGGCACATTTTTGTCAAAATAAATAGTAACTATACCAAATCAACATAAATTAGTATCATTCATTTCCTCCCCTTCAAATGTGTAGGTGGATTTCTCCCATTTAACAATTCTGTCAACCCGAATTAGCGCGATATCAAATTCACAACCCCACTATAATTGGTACCAAACACTTATAACTTACTTCTTATGTAGGCGGGCTATGTCGTTTGAGGTGTTGTATATTTTTGTGCCTGCCGTTGAGAGGAAGAAGTAGTCGTTCTCACCAGCATCTGTCCTCTCACCCAGCTTCGGACGAACGCTCTCAAAGTATATTTGAAACCACTGATGCGACAAAGAAATCAATAATTATTATTTTTGCAATGAAATATCAGTTTTAGACATACAATAGAACATAAATCATTAGACATAATGATTCATATCACAGGAGGAAAAGAAAGAACAACACTTCCTTAATCGCACATGTTAAAATTCTCGCAATCGATACTTATATATACAGCCTCCTTCTTGTTTAGCGCAAAAATGACCAGTTGTGTTGATGCAGTTTTATGCTCTTTTACGCTGATCACGCAATATTCGCGTCCATTCCCCGTTGTTTGCCTTCTGTCGAGCCATTCGTTGACCATCATGTTCATGACAACCCCCAAAAAGAAAGAAAATCATATATCAAACCATTTTTTCCTGTACTAAATATTTTAACACAATATTAAGTGGAATCCTTAGCATGAACACAACCACTATCACATCGTTCGTCCCAAACGTAATATAATCAGTAGTGTACATGTATTTATATCTTGTACCATGCAACGGCTAATTACTGTTCATATGTTAGATGGCCATCTATACATGTTCATCGAAACATTATAACTGCACATTCCATCTAGTTTATATTGATTTATGGAGTTAATTTCAGATAGAAGAAATACTCACCACGGCGCAGGCAGTGCCTTAGCGCAATCACTGCCTCCAGGTAGCTCGTGATGAAGGATAGCTGGCCCTCTGATACTATGCCTCATTGGGCATCCTTTAGTGCATTATCGAAGACTTCCTTGGCGACCCTCAACACCTTCATGCATTAACTCGGCTTTTTCTGTTGCTGGTGGGCTCTGATGTACTTGATTTTTGTAGATTACTTTGTGGCACCTCGGGATGCACCTTTCCTCATGGTCGCCAGGCAGTCCTTCATGTGTATGATGTGTTCATACAAGGTTCTGAAAAACATGAGTCTTTAATTGTTATTATAATTAGCTTCAAATTTCATAACGATGTACATAAAAACACAAAACACAATTTTCAAATTGTGCGGTACATCAGTCAGTATTAAAATGAGACCTATTATCTGTTAACATAGCCGCGTTTTCTGTTACCAGATCGACTCATGATGTGTCACATACCGGTCAGTGCTATACAAGTTGGTGGTGTCCGTGAGGTAGCACAGATATTTCTGGATATTTTTCTGGTAATTTTTCATGGTATGGTTTGTTCAGCGAGTCCACAGTTTCGCAAGCTTTGGAAAAATTGCCTCGTCCTCTCGATGTTCCGTAGGGCACCGATGTTG